GAGAAGAAGCTGAGCTTCTTTTTCCAGCGTTTTAAATAGAAAATTCACCATTCAGACTTTAAAGACCAACATGGTTGTTGTGTTCTCATAATCGGTGTTTTATATGGGAAACATATTTTGATTGGTTGTATTTATGCCCCAAGTGAATTCTACTCGACATTATTAGCTAAAGTTTCCTCTCTTTCTCGTAGGTGACTTCAACTTTATCGTGGATCCTGAGGTAGACAGTCATCCCCCCAACCAAAGCTGCTCCTTTAAATACAAAGGGTCATGAGGAAGAAAAGCTCACATCTAAATTTGTTTGATCTAACTTTATTTCCAACCCCTATCAACGTTTTTTTTCCGAAAAGACTACTTTTATACTTTGAGGCAGGTGCTAGATGGAGTGGAAGAAAGCACTATAGGTAATGGGTCATCTGAGCGCTGATGCTAATATCTATTTTAGTTACGCCATCATTCTCTCAACCTCCCTCACGTCATTGGCACTTAAATATTTTTATGTCTGGGCAGCCCCTCTTTTGTGGCCTATTTGGAAGAGCAATTTTTAGCAGTTGACATAAATGCAGATAGAAATCCTTCAACACTCTGGGAAACACTTGAGGCCTAATTGAAGGGGGCTATTATCTCATATTGTGTAGCTACTCGAATATTCACCAGACTATTGGCGGGTAGACTTGAAGGACGAACCTCTTATAATCACAGGCTTTCATTAATAATAGGGTGTCTCAGAACAATATGAGGAAATGACTCAACATTATCGATATATAAACTACTACTTGTACGCAATTCACAGTGCTTCCCAGAAAAAGTGCAAAAATAAAAGAAATCACGTCAATTAACAAGAACATCTGTTTGATTCCGGTGATGAAGCTTGGTTGAATGTCACAACTCTCTCTCTCACTTTCCACCCAGGTTTTCTGTTTTTTACTGTCAACTATAAATGTGAATAAAATCTACTTATTTTTTCCTTTTTACAGTAACACTTTCATATGTATGGTAATATTTACATTTCTCAGCTCTGTTTTTACTGTGAATTCCAATAAAAATGTAGCTTATTTCATTATTACCATTTCCATTTATTACTTGGGCAAATGTATTCTGATAGTTAATGTATTCTGAATGTAAATGCATTGGAATGAAATGTTTCTGGGACAAAACTGTGCTATTGACAGTGCAGTTGAGCACAATGCAGAAACAACCAGCAGCAAAGTTCACTTGCACAGCAACGAGTCTGTGTGGGAGAATGCTTTGCTATCTACACTGTTTGATTTGCACCTGCAAAATTCACCAAGATGTGTTTCACAAGCAGGTCACCCCACATCCTGTGACAATGAGAGAATATATATATACAGCCTTGGCATAACACAATGTGTTTTGTCCTGATTCTGGACACAAATTAGTCTACACAATTCTGGTATGACTGTTTGTTTGTGTGTATGAGAGAGAAAGGGAAAGATTACCTTCCTGAATATTACATTTGCACGGCAGAGAAATACTTACTGTTGAATTCCTCTTCCTCTGCGCTCACCGGGACATCAGTTGGGTCTATTTGAGTGGATGAGTTTTGAAAAGCTGCAATGAAAACAGGAAAAGACTGTCAGTAACAATGTTAGCATTAACCCTATACAGGCTTCTCATCAACACGCCACATCAAACACAGCTACCATAGGACTTTTAAAGAGTACTAACCACTTGACCAGAAGTGTGATTTGTGTGTGTGGATGGAGTTCAGTGTGGGTCAAACATGACATCCCCATGTGTTTCTTAAACATTTTACACACTAAACCACATTTGTCTTCCACTTGTAGACCTCTTACAATCAACACCAACTTTGTGTTTTCCACTTTCAGGCACTTATAAGTAATATGTGTAGTGAAATTCAACAATGTGGCGCGCTCCTAAGGTGAGTGTTGAAAATAAGGATAAGAAATATAAAACAATTTAAGATTAAAAGATATAAATACATGCTAAAAAAAACACTTTCAACACAATACAGTAGACAAAATTTTGAATAGTTACTGAGGAATGAGTGAGGAATGAACCAGGAATAATGACTTGATGATAAATGAATTGTTAATAAGTAGTTAGTGAATAACTCCAACTATATAGTAAATAATGAAGATTTATTAGAGAACTGACTGCGAGATACCGAATCATCAACTAATGATGAGTAAATAAATATCTGTGAATTTACATACTGACCACTTTCTTCTTGAGTGGTTCCCGATTATCTCTGTACCAGCTGCTGAGCGGCACAAAACTATTAGCGGCTATAAAAACAAAAATTATTAGTTAGTAGCTCTTTTTGTGCCCCCTCAATAAAGTGATACTTATTAACTAATTATTAGCTGATGGTGATTCATTAATATAGAATCTCCAAGTCAGTTCTCTAATAAATCATCACAATAGTCAGTTATTTACTACTTTTTAACGATACATTTATCAATTATTGTTCCTCATTTGTTCTTCACATGTTCCATCGTAACTACTCACAATTTTGTGTACCGTATTGTAACATTTTACCCCTCAAGGCATTTTAATTAAAGAAAATAATGACAATGATGCACTTATAAACTTTAAAACTACAAAGAATAAATACGAGCAAATATAACTGGACACACATTAGATATACAAGCTACTATATCTCTTCTAAAATACAAATAATAAGGTATAGCAAACTTTGCTCGTAGTTTGCCACAAAAGTTTTTCAAAAAATGATTCTACTCCTCAAATAGCAGTGTTTCTTTATCCATGTTAAATGTATAGTTAATTACTTTTCTTATGATAAATATTAGGCAAAACATTTTAAATTGAATAAAGTAGGCTTGTTTATGTGCTGCTAGTTTAACTGGATCCAAGTGAAGTAAGAATTAATGGTGTTAACACTAAAATAGCATTAAATAACAACCTCTTTATAGTGATAGTTCCTTATACTCAGTTAAAGCCGGTTTCAATAAAGACAAAGTCCATAACTCACAGCAGAACTCGACAGTTTGTAAATAAGTTTTACATTTCAGTTTTATAAATGTATGAAACTGTACACATTACCTTGACAAAGACAGCTCAGTTGGATAATTAAAATGCATTTCACCAGCTTCATGTTGTTCACAGAAAGGGGGAAACAGCTTCTATCGTCTCTGCTCGAAGTTGAAACTCAAACTGTGCAGAACATCTACTGAGCCGGTCTGCAAACAGTGCAGCTTCCTCTCTTCCCATTTACCACAGTGCATTGTTACAGGAAGTGAAGGTTTTTACTTTGTCACTGACACATCAATAGTAGGACTAAAACCACATACATGACGCTGAAACCTTCCCTTTTTTTTTTTAAGTTATCTTTTTGGCCTTTTATTGCCTTTATTGGATAGAGACAGCTGAAGATAGACAGGAAAGGGGGGGGGGCAGAGAGAGAGGGGATGACACGCACCAGCTCTACCCACTGAGCTAACCGGGCGCCGCCACAACTTATTTTTAATATGCAATTAAAAGGCAGCATTATATCATCACATATAAATAATTGTATTGCATCAGAAGCATATTGTACTAATTATTTACCTTGTCTTTAAATTGGAATTTACATTAAGATTTGTAAAGTTGTATGTGCCATGGACACTTAAGCAGCAAATCTTTGTATTCCTTTAATAAAATGTACAAACATTTAATTTAATTAAATTGCTGCTGTGGTATTAAGATCAGAGTAGAGCACAGTCACTATTATCTTAAAACTACCAAATTATTCAGACTTAAAATGCAGGAAGATGTTTTGTGTTCTAATTTAAGGAAATTACTGAATATAGGATGTGCACTTGTCAACAGGATACATGATGTCATGTGAACCGTCTTTTCCCCTTTTAAGATCCCCTCCAGACATGCATTAGGTCATATACAAGTAGTAGCAATTGGTTGGAACAATAATGTTTTTCCTCTAAAAAATATAATCTTAAAAATAAAAATCAAATACAAAATAATTTCCACATTAAAATCTTTAAAAAGTCACCTACACCTTCTGCCTCATTAAGAATGATCATCACACGCAAGAGGTGTCCAGTTAGTTTAATTCACCACTAGATACCACTAAATACTTCACACTGGTCTTTTAAAGTCCCCCCTTGACACAAAAATTGTCTTCTTGGTCCTGCAGTCGAATGTTTGAGCTTCGCTGTGGATGTTTTTACATTCATCTTGCTACGAGTGGAAAGTTTCTCTGTGCTCAGCAAGATGAATGTAAAAACATCCTTCTAGTGTGAAACTAGAAGCACTGGACACCTCTTGCTTCTTGGCGACCTGGGAATAAGATCGGGCTGTGAGGTGTGTAGGAGAAACTACGGTGGCTGCAAAACTTGTCATTGTCTGGTTTGTCCGTTCTGTGCTACTGTAGAAACACGGCATCTGCGGCATCTGTAGATAAAAACGCCTTATTCTAAGGTGTTATTCAGATGAATATACACTAATGAACCCATACCTATGAATATTATATTTCTGCCAGTAGATCCTCTAAATGTTACCCTTAAAAAATATTAGTGTCAATGCCTCATTTATTTAAAATTTAAAAGTGCCTGAGAACTTTAATTCCTGAATAAGTATAATACATCACTATACATAAGCTTGACAACCTAAAGCTACTTTTAACCAGTTGGGGTCGACATTACTTCAAGTGGTGGAGCATATTTAGGCCAAAGAGTTCTGTAGAGTCTTTTAGTGAAACAAATGTGGCTGTTGTTTCGTTTTCAGTTCAAACACACACTGTGTGTCATATGAACACGAACACTACTCAGAAACACTGGTCAAAGTGAGGAGGGCGGCTCCAGTGCGACCCCCTCCTCTCACTCCTCTCACTCCTCTGACAGCTCCCCTGCTTTGTTTACATCCTGTTCCAGGAGCACGCGCTCAACTCAGCTCTCTCTCCTATTGGCTGTCCGGTTTTATAGCCCCGCCCATCACAGGAGGACCGGAAAACACAACAGACAAAAACAAAAGAAGAAAGCGATTGTTATGTTATTTCAAGCCTGTCCTAAAGCAACAAACACGTATTGTTTAATATTATTATATTACTGACAAATATTTGAATTAATTGGAGTAACGTTAATCTGCTTTTAGCACTAAACGACGGTTTATCTGGTGAGTTTTAGCTCAGATAGTTACGGTTAAAGAAAGGCGGTTGAAACTAAACAAAGGAAAATAAAACATAACAACGCAAACAGCTGACACTCACCTTTTAAGTTAAACGTGTCGTAACCTCGTGTAGGGGTCAGGAGCGTTTGTACGCATGCGCAGTGAGCCGCAAACCAACATCAGTTGGCGCGAGCGCCAAGTAGTTTAATTTTGGGCTCTGAACCGAGGAAGGTAAGCTACAAACATCAGTGTACCTGTGCTCTCCAGCTCTGTAGCTTCACCTTTACACGTCCCAACCACTGCTACATCTTCCGTGTGCTGGTATGTAAACTTGTGCTTCTGTTAAAACCGCAGCCGGTTTGTTATTTTTCTGGTTTTTCGTTGAATAACTCGCAGTCGAGTAGCGTCAAAGCAAGCTAAGATTAGCCAGATTACAGTTGATTGTGGACAATGTTTGTTTTTATAAACCTGTGTTTCTTTCTGGTGAGGGAGCAGAGTTTGTATATTCTGAGTTTTTATGTAAGTAAACTAAAGCTTTCAACTCCTCTGCGTGTTTCTACCTGGGTCGGTCACCCGTAAAGTTATATTATATCTGATTATTATGATTAAAGCTAGCTGCTTGTGATCAATTAAACAATAACGGATGAGTTGTTTAATAATCGATGTTTGTGTGGTTACTGTTGCGATCAAAGCATTTTATACTTTGCACAAAATGTCCTCCCTCGGCCTTTGTTGTTGTTGTTGTTGTTGTTGTTGCTGCATTAAAGGAGTATCTGTATTTTGGGGGGGCTGCATGTCTTTGTGCTGTTCGTTGCGTCTCTGCAGCATGTTTAAGGTCAGAAACTGTTCCTATAGGTGATGTGCAGCTTCTCAGATCAAAGTTTTATCAGTAACGATTAGTTTGGCGGGTTGTGGCTGCAGAGAGGTGATTTTACGCGCTCATTAATCATGTTGGCGCGTTTGATGAGGCCTGATAGTTGGCACATTAAATATTCATGAAACTGTGCGGGGTTTGTGGGTTTTTATCGACCTTGGTTTTGAATGGAAGTATGTTTTTGTGCAAGCCAAGATGGCCACAGCTCCTTTTATCATTTGCATCTGAGGGCTAACTTCCCGGTTTTGCTGTTAACGAACACTAATTTTGCTTTTAAATTGTTCCCCTTTTTTTTTTTTAACAGACAGCAGCAGCCACAATCATGAGTAGACGAAGGTAAGACCTGTTTTGTTCTTTGTGACTTATTATTGTTTTGTGGTTGGTTGTCGGGCTGTTTCAAATCTGCAGCTGCATGTTGAGTTCAGTTTCATGTCTTTGCAGTGGTCGCCTGCAGATAAGATCTGAGAATGCTCCAGGGCACAAAAGCAAAGTAACTAAGGTAAGAGTCCCAACAAACCATTAACACACACCACATATCTTTAATTAGTGGTTATATAGTCAAGTATTTTCAAGATGAGCTGACGTCTTAACTTGTGTCTGATTTTATCTTTTCAGCAAAGCAACAGATTTGTAAAGCCCCTGTCGAAGCTGCAGTGTGAGAAGGTATGTCCCTTTCTTTTATTTTATTGGAATAAAAACAAATAACTAAAAGTCTCCCTATTCCTGAAAACCCCAATTTGGGTCTTTTGAGAGACAAAAATAACCAAACAAATGTGTATCCAACATTTTGCTGTATTAACACACATGTTGGATTCAATATTCTCCCAATTTTTCCATTTCAGAACCATCTGGTACTTGAAAGTGTCGCCAAGCCTTGTATTCTCATCGCGGCTTCTGAGAAGGGAGTCAGGGTCGACTGTGATGAAGTTCTCATTTCAGGAGATTCCTTGGTTCGGCCATCACCTCTGCCTCATCTTGGGTGATTGTCATACATTATTCTCCCACGGTTGACTCACAGTTGTCTCTTGATGACATCCTCTACCAGACCTGTTTCTCTGTGTGGCTGAAATTAAGTTATTTTCATTTAATCTCCCAATTATCATCTTCAAAATGTCAAGAAAACTGAAAAATGTCCATCACATTATCCCAAGATAACAAGTGTCTTGTTTGGGTTTTGGACTTTTAGTCGGTCAAAAGAGGTTCAATTGACTATTATGTAAGACTAAGAAAGAGGAACAATCAAATGTTTATCATTTTTTACTTTAAAATAGCCTTAACTAATTAGCCATCAAAATAGCTGCAGATTAATTTTCTTAGGACCGATTACTCGACTAATTGTATCTCCGTTCTCTGTGTGTTACAGGTGGGGATCTGCTGAAGACGTGTGGGTGAAGATGGTCTGCAAGGAGCAGAATTACAGACACAGCAAGAGCTTCATACAGAAACACCCCAGAATACAACCCAGAATGAGATCCATCCTCCTCGACTGGTTAATTGAGGTGCGTCTTCAACTGCATCTCAAATTTATGTTGCACGTGTTTCAGTTAGTTATTGTTTCTGTGCTTGAACTAAAGTAAACAGGTTAAATACACATGCTCACTAAAATATTTTTTACAGTTAAACATTCACCCTTGCTTTAAGTTTCTTTATTCAGATTTCTAGCAGCACAATCATTTCATGGTATCAATGTATAATTAGCAATGTACACAACTCTAGATCCTGTGGCTGCCACAACCAAATGAGTTATTTCCTGTTTGATCTATATTAAACCAGTATGCTTGACACAAGCAGCATCAGTTCAAAAGTTTAAAATACAATCATGCGATCACTTCAATTTAGATCCCTCATTTAAAAAAGGATTTACTTAAACTTAAAGGATTTAAGTTTTTTATTTTATATTTTGTCTGTTCCATTGATTTCAGGTGAGTGAGGCCTATACTCTTCATCGGCAGACATTCTACCTGGCACAGGACTACTTTGACCGGTTCATGTTGACCCAGAACAACATTGAAAAGGGCATGCTGCAGCTCATCGGGATAACTTGTCTTTTTATAGCATCAAAGATGGAGGTAAGGAAGAATGGGCAGGGATCAGGTCTCATTTCCCCCAAATCATTCAAACTAAATTAAAGTGTACTGTGACACCTTCAACTAGAGAACCTAAATTCAATTTGCACTTAAAATACACATCTTAATATACTTTGAAGACTAACCTCATAGTTCCCTATTGCAGTTGAGAGAGTTTTCCAGGCTCTTTGATCCTGATGGTATTTAATGTGAACATTTTCTAATGCATATGTCTGTGCCTGGTTTCCTCGTAGGAAGCCTGTCCTCCAAAGCTCTCACAGATGGCCTATGTGACTGCAGGGACCTACTATGAAGATGAGATTCTTCAGATGGAGCTAATTATTTTAAAGGTAATACTATTACAAGTGTGGCCACGTTAACTCATTATTGATTGATTATCAATTGATAGGGAGGCTTTAATTTTGCGTAATTCTGCTTTACCCGTGTTACAGGCATTGCGTTGGAACCTTTGTCCTGAAACAGCCGTGTCTTGGCTGAAGCTTTACTTCCAGATGGCATCGATGAACACCAACTCTGACCTGCTGGAGTCGCAGTTTCCACAGGACGCTTATGTACAAATGACACGTGTAGGTTTTGGGAGGGTAGTCTCCTTTTTTTTTTTTTAAGAACACATACTGACACAAACCTCTGTCTCAAAGCTGAGTTAGAAACCTTCTGGCATGGTTGCAACACAAATGTAACATTTCACTAAAGGGATTTCTATCAGTTTTATTGGATTTATTGGATGATTCCACTACTATGACATCGCTGCTACCCCATCAGAGCTTTCTGTTATCTTTCTATATCCACTCTCATACCAAATTAGACAAGTGTCAGTACTTGTTTCCTTGTGGTCAATGATAGTCATCTGCTTACGTCTCCCAACTTAAAGATAATAAAAGGAAGGAAGTTTATAAATACTTGAATGAGTTTCTTCAGTTTAAGTCTGACTCATAACTAATGCTGCTGTTTCTCTTCTGCCTTTTTGGCTTTTCTAGCTTTTAGATCTGTGTATCCTCGACATAAACTCTCTGGACTTCCAGTATCGAGTGTTGGCGGCCTCGGTCCTCTCCCATTTCATTCAACCGGAAACAGTTGAAAAGGTTTCAGGTAAGATTTTGGATTGGTACGTTTTGTAGAAATGTAAATATAATATATGTGTAATTATGGTATTTAAGTCATCAGTTATGTATTCTAGTATTAATGGCACAAACTATATCATCATATTAATAATAACCGTGATCAAAAAATACCATGAGCTGAACCACAGTGGGACCTACAGGAAGGTTACCTAGTGCATGTAAATCTTTTTTTTTTTTTGTGTGTGTGTGTTCAGGTCTGTCAAAAGACACCACCCAGTTGTGTGTGAACTGGATGGCCCCCTATGTTGAATCCATGGGCTGGTTTGGCATAGCAACACTGAAGGATTTTGCCAAAATAAAGACTGAAGACAGGCACAACATCCAGACGCACACAGACTACATGACCATGCTGGTTGGTATTTTTCTTGTTCTACTTGTTGCATTACATTCATTTGGCTGCTGCTTCTGTTCAATGAGAGCATTCAACCTCAGGAACAAGATTTAAAGGTTTTCATGTGATTTGGTTGGTTACAGCCGCAGTCAAGCTCTCTTTTCTGTCTGGCCACCCAAACAAAGCCAACCCTTAATGAAAACATATGATGTATTAAAGATATTATCACTGCATTAATTAAGGTGTAGAACAGGCTGAAACATTTGTCCTCTCATCCCAAAATAAATGACCCTAAGATAACAAAAACTTCTATTTTCAGGTGATTACACATTAATGAAAACATCCCTATGAATATTATATTCCATTTATAAGTATATTTCCTAAATCAGCTTTTATTTTTAGGCCCTAGTTTCATGCTTAATGAGAGTTTGTGCATACCGTACACACCCCGAACACAAGGAGGAAGAGCAGAATTAGGACTGATTTTTCTTTGAGCTGTATCCTTTTTAACTTCAAAGCCAAGTTACATTTTCAGGGATGCTACTTTATTGGTTTCTGACTTAAAACCTCTTTTTGTTTTAGGATTACGCCAGTAAAAAGGAGGTGAACAGCCAGTTCCTCACTCCTCCCAACAGCACAGGGAAAACCTGTATACACTGAACTACAAGAAGAAGACACTGAAGTGAGTGTAGACAAAGAGGACACGGGTTTAAGGTCCTGCAAAGACCTGTTTACTGGAGACGGCTCGAGTCTGGATGGGAGTTTCAGTTTGTCACTGAATGCATTACCCGGGCTAATGGGCCTATATTTTAAAGACTCTTAGCCAAAGCTTTTTGTTCTTGATTTTTAGCAACAAGGTGCTTTTAATTCAGAAAAGAAAAATGTTTTTTAAAAAAGTGTCAATGTTTGCTGTAAGTGTCATTTCTAGGAAATTATGTTCTATTAATGAAAGTGATGTGCAATTGTTTACATCTGTAGCATATTTAATATGTACAGTCAGCAGATAAAATCTTTTAAAGACTGCTTCAGGATCAGTTGAATCGCTGGTTTTCAACAGCATCTATTCTTAAAAACAATTTGAGTGGACTGCTGTTGGCTAATCTCCAAAAGAAAAACTGGAAATCCTCATGTTCAGTACGAGTATACACTTTTTCATGAACCCTGATGAAAGCCATGCGTCAGAATGGAAAGTGCACACTCTTCAGTTCATGAGCCTCAGTTATCTTTACAATGCTGTTATAACCAAGCTATTGTTTAACTCAGGGTAATGGATAGTCAGTGATTTTTTTTGTAGAGAATTCATTCAAATTGATTCCAAGTGTACAAATGAGCAACTGTATTTATTTAGAAGATTATTTTCTACCACAAAATAAAATATACATTCCCAACCCCCCAAAAAAAAGTCTGACAGTGGTTCACATGTGTCCTAGAAATACAGTTTGGCCATCGCCTGCAGGAATCTCTTCTTCCTTTTCTGTGCAGCCAGCTGCAGCACTTCCTCTGGGTTACTGGTGTTCAGCTCTGCCTGTCCGATCGCTTTTACCTGAGGAAGAGCAGAGAGTTAGGAAACTGATGCAGCCTTTTGGTTGAAAAGTTCAACTGTCTGGGATCTCAAGCATTTTTGTGTAGCAGACTCATAACTATACACTGAAATATAGTAGGGAGGGACCGATGGGGAAATTCTGAGCAGATATTGCTTAAAATAACAACTTGGCAGAGCTTTTTGTTATTTATTCGCCCTTTGTGCCAGTTTTGTTGCAGCTCAGTCTATTTTCTTCTCATCCAAGACGTGAGAGGTATGTCAGTTATTAGAAGGTGAGTATCAGTGTATCCCTAAAATATACTTTAAAAAAATAAAAATGCGTTTGAAACAAGGTTTATATAATAATACTTAATCTCAGCCCAGTTGCAACCTAGATGTGTCTTAAGCTGCTAATCACCAAATGAATGCTTACTGTGCTAATGTCACATGTGAACACTAAAACCGAACGTGAATTTCAGATGAACTGAAGGATTAAATGCTTCTGTGGGAGCTGAGAACAATAAACTATTTTAAAAACCCAGTGAACTATCTGGAAAATGCATGAAAAGTTTTTCTGGTTCCAAATCAACAAGCTACTGTTAATTCATATTAAACATGATATAATGAACCTTAACTTTAACATTTTACTGTTTTATCTCTGTCCAAAAACAATGTTAACTGTGGTGTTTGAACTGCTTACCGCTATTTGTCTCTTCTCAGTCTCTCCTCGTTTGTGGTGAATATCTGAGTGCAGTCAAGGAAGAATTAAAAAGGACATTGTAGTTAACAGTAGGTTTCTTTAAAGAATTATTCTACTATAAGGGCCCTGAAAGAGAAGAAAGGATACGTGTGAGGTATTCCAGGATGGTGACGTCCCAGATGTAGTCGTAGAACGAGTCCATGGCATCATGACTGGAGACAAAAGAGAGGATGAAGTCAGATGTTCAGAATAGTGCTGTTGGTCTTTACTGTTCAGTGTGTCTTGCCGTGCCATACCTGTTCTGTTCTTGAAGAGCTTTAAATGCCGTCATGTAGTCCACCTCTCGAAGAAACTGACAGAGAACGGCAACCTAATGAGAATGGGAGACAATCAGGTTTATTATACTTTGACATTTACAAACACATATGCAGAAAACTGTTTACCGGTTACACAATTTCACCATCAGGACATCAAGAGCTTGTTGTGATTAGCAGGTACAATAATTATTTTTATCTTAAAAAAGGGGAACTGGAGCTCTGACCTGTGTGTGGCAGTTCATCATTGAACAGCATTTGATCATCCTCTTCAGGACCTGCAAACAACAGTCAGTGTTATCAGAGGATTGATTCGTTTTTATGTCACTTAAGGGTACATAAGTGGACTGAAACTGCAATTCACAGTGACTACAGTATGTTAAGTTTCTCTTGTCTGTACATTGTTGTACTGCGATCGTAGAATATGTAGTATTTTGTAATTAACTAATTTTAAATTGTTGCTGTTCATTGTGAATGTAGGTGTGATCAAAAGCAGTGAGTAACCTGGTCAGTGTACACATCAGGGGGAACAGCTTTAGTGAAGAAGTCTGAGCTCACAGCTCCAGCCTGGAGGTAAAGGTTCAGTGCAGCAGAGTATTGATTGGTCACTACAGACAGAGACAAAGACGAAAAGGTTTTAGTCAAACAGACTTCTGGGTAAAACTGTTGTTTATGCTATTCTTTTTTTCCCCCAACTCCAATTTAGCAGCCAGATGTTCGGTGTTTGCAGTTATAACCACAGGCACTGTGGTTAATCTGTGGATCGGATGCCGGGTCATAAAAACAGAAGTTAATAGAGAAGTTGTGAACATTTACGAAGGAGGCACAGCAGCGTCTTTATAGATTATTTATAATCCCCCCCCCAAACGCAGACAGCATCCGTCAGGATCTTATGTTAATTATTGTTCTGTGGTCTTCTACACACACAGTCTAGGTTCATAGAGAGACATAGTTTGGAGTACAGCAGCTGTCCTCCTGATGAATCCTGCACTCCTGAGTTTTTCAATGCGAAACCAAGGTTGTTCTAAATCATTAAAGCAGAAAAACCTAGTCTCCTTAGATTCTCTTACCAAAGTAGATATCGGCCTGTGTGATGAGCCACGACTGGTTATTAGGATTCAGGGTGAGGGCACAGGACACCAGCTCTTTGACCGTCACGGCCACAGCTTCCACATCTACTGCCTGTATGCTGGTCGACAAACACACAAACGATTGTCACGTTTTGTTTGAGAAATCTTTAACATTTCATTAAAGGTCTAGTGTGAAACATTTAGGAGGATCTATTGGCAGAAATGGACTATAATTAAATATAATAAATGCAAATGCCCAGAACGGACAAACCAAACATCTCCTGCGCGTTTGGAAGGCTGAACTGTATTCAGATGGTTGCAACTTCACTGCTAGATGCCATTAAATCCTACACCTACTACTCTGGTCCTTTAAGAAAAAAAAGTTCTTACGTTGGAAGAGTAGACGGCCAGATGGAGAGGTGTTCTGCTGTCACTTCATTTACAATATCATCCTAAAGAAAGAGAAAACAGTTGGTTTCCCACGAGAGAATGAGATGAGCCGAACGTCATACTATGGTATTTGTGGACATTTTTTCCATTTTAGCCCCTTGTTTTGCTGTTGAATAATCTATGTGACTACAGTACAGTAAAAACATAAACAATCTGACAGCTCAAATAAGAAACATACCCGCACAATACTGTGGAGCCTCACAAACAGTGAGATGAGCGTTGTCAACACCAACGGCTCCTGTGGGAAATAAGATGAAACCCATCAATAACACCTCATCCAGGGAAAATGGAATATATCCACAGTGGGTTTAAGTTTGCTTTATTGGATACTTACTCTAAGTTTCTTGATGAAAGTGATGAATTTGCTCCTAAGTGGGTTGGACAATGAAAATACACCAGAATGAGCACTTGTGTATTGCTTGTATACAGCTTGTTATTGTAAACACTATAAAGTCTGAAGAGGTTGTAGGCATGTTTGCAGCGTACCGGTGCAGGATGCCCATGGAGGACTCTCTGTGTTTAATGAGGCCCACTCTGCCGTCGTTGTTCCTCTTGTGCTGGATGGACACGCTGCAGATCTGCACCACCACATCCCACAGCTCCTTGGCTGTGCGGCGACACTCTTTAGGACCTGGGAGCTCTTTGCATGTTGAAGCCAGGAGCTGACCGAGCTATCAGAAGGAAACAGAGGGGACGAATAGAACAAGTGAAAACCACAACAGTCCTGACCTTTTCAACCATCCCAGACCCAGTGGATCATTGGAAAGTCTCACAGAGTTTTGTTTTTAACCAAATGTTTACTGAATTATGACAAATATGTTTTTCTGTACTGAAAGCGACTAACTGTAAACATGCCTGCTTGCTTCATGGTAGTTTAGATATTATGTTGGCTATTAATGTAAGTGTAAGAGACAGTCTATGGAGCTGCCACAATGAGGTAGTAATGGGCTTAAAAACAGACGTTGTACCTTGATGTATGGGTTGTTCATCACCAGAGATGGTGGCACCTGCAGAGTCAGGTAATCGTTCTCCCTCCAGTTCAACATAAAGGCGACACACTCCTCTCCTACCACCTGACGCAGAGGCAGATCTGGAGACAAAGACAAGGACATCACGTAATTTAGTGCGTCTGAAAAATATATTTTGATGCCGTTTTCAGTATTTCATGTTAAATCAGGGTTACTAATATTAACAACTTGTAAAGTCAACTTTACAGCCAATATTATGGGCAGAGCAGGTGTGTTATATTCTGTGGGTTCTAAAAGTTCCTTATTCCACTGCAGTATTAATCTATAATGAGCAAATAGTGCCAAATAACTCTTGCTTGCAGCACCAGAGTAACATGGTTTAACACACAGCCCAAAATCAGTTAATTAAAAACAAATTACAGGCAGACAAAGACCAGGCCACAGTGTCTCCATCCACCCACCGTGAATCCTCATCTCCAGGTATCCTCTGACCCTGCTGACCAGGTCGGGGGGTGGTCGCTCCTTGCTGCCCTCTGCCGCCATCGTCTCGTGTGCGCGGACCTCCAGCAGCAGCATCTCATTCAGCATAATCTGCCTCAGCTTCGGGGAGAACTCGGTGACGAGCTCCAGGCAGGCTGAGAAAAGCTGCCGTGCATGGGCAAAGTCCTGAGACGACAGAAAAACACCATCCAAGTATTTAATATTTCTACCTCTCACTGCTTAGAACTGTTGTAATAAGGTTGATGTACCACTTGTTGATGCCCTTGTACCAGTTAAGGTTTAAAGGTTTGTGGCTAAAAATGTCGCATGCTAATGTTAATTAAGCTGAACTAGCTTATTCAACATTTTGGATCTTTCTGAAATAAAATAGTCAACAGCACCTCAAGACAAAGAGCTCAAACATTATCCACCAATTGTTTTGTTTTCCATTATGTGTATTTCTGAGAACTGGTCTTATGAGCGCACCTTTATTGATATGCAGTGGAGTCCTTTGGCCATGAGGATGTAAACCAGGTCCTTTGTCAGGTTGTCTTTAATGCTGAGGATCACGTTAATGTAGTCTGGAGGAACTTCCCACTGGACACACAAACAAAGGTTATTTCAGTGTATATTTCATTATAACTGAAGATTAACATTTTGGCAATGTGTGAATGTTAAGTGAATCTCTTAATAGGAGGGTTATTATATATATATATATATATATATATATATATATTTTTAAGGTAAAATACAAAATCTTAAATGCACTTGAGTTTTATTGCTCTTCCAGTATAGTATGTTTTGACCTCTGACCTTACTGTTGACCCTCCAGTAGGGTCGTTCGGCCATGCCGTGGAGTTCGATGAGGATCTGTCTGATCCTTCGTGGCTCCAGTAAG